CACAGCCCCTGCCTTTGCCTCCACAGGGCACGTTCGCTTCATAGACTACGAGTACACTGGCTACAACTACCAGGCTTTTGACATTGGAAACCACTTCAATGAGTTTGCGGGTGAGTTGGGCTCATCTCCGTGGCACTGAAGGTCTCCCATAGGTTGCAGCGGCTGCTCCATGGTTTCCCCACCCCTAGGGATGGAGGAGGCAGTTGTATCCCTAGTGCCATGGTGGAAATAGGGCACTTCTCATGCTGCCCAGGGTTAGAGCAACATGCAAGGGAGGGTCTCTGGTGAGCATCCTGGTTGCTGCGGGAATGCAACGCCTGCAAGAGCCCAGCTCTTAAGCGCTCCAGGGCTGGGTGAGTGCCTCAAATCAGCTCCTGCACGCCTGGAGCTGCAGGGATTTCACACACCAGGTCGTGCATGGGGAGAGCCTCGTGGCCTCATTGCTTTGCCCTGGGGAAAGCCTCCCTCCGTGCCTCTGGGGCACCACTGACGCCGCTCCCCTCGCAGGCGTGAAGGAGGTGGATTACCGCCTCTACCCCAGCAAGGACACCCAGCTCCAGTGGCTGCGCTCCTACCTGCAGGCCTACAAGCAGCTCACCCAGGGCGACCAAGGGGTGTCCGAGGAGGAGCTGGAGGCTCTCTACGTGCAAGTGAACAAGTTTTCTTTGGTGAGTGGTGGAGGTGGGAAGGAGCCGGCAACGCTTGAGGGCTGCCCATGGCATGGGTTCCTCTGCGCTCACTGCAGCTTGGCTCGTGAGGATGGAGATGCAGGAGCCAGCTTGGGGGTTTGGGGGCATGATGCTGCCCCACAGAGCCTGGATGTACCTCAGAGGCACCGAGACCATGGGCAGGGTTGAAGATAGCACTGGGTGCCTGCCATCCCACTTGACACATGGCAAGGGACAGCATGTCTCTGATAGCTGTGGCGTTGGGCATCCTTTTGGAGAGGCCAGGCAGAGCCAAGTATGAGGAAACTCTCTTTGGCTCTACCTGCCCATGGAATTTGCCAATTTTCTGGAAACTTGGGATGAAACACAGCTGGTTTCCTGGCTGGAGCTGCAAGTGCAGAGGCTGGTACGCTGAGCACGCTGTGCAGCTCTTCAGCATCCTTCCTGCTGCATCCCTCTCCCTGGCTGGGACCAGCCTCTGGAGGGTATAAAACCAAACTCATGGGCTGGCTGCCACCCTGTGTCCTGTTGGCACAGCCATGGGACTTCTGGGACCTGGCCAGGAGACGCATGAGCAGCTCATCCCACAGGCAGGTATCTCTGTACCCATTCCTGATCCTTGTTATGTCTGTTGCAGGCATCTCATTTCCTCTGGGCATGCTGGGGCCTGATCCAGGATAAGTACTCTACCATAGACTTTAACTTCTTAAGGTGAGTTTTTCAGGGCGGGGGGGGCATTGACTCAGTGCAGTTCAGTGTTAAACAACAGGAGCAAGAGTATCCCAACAGTCCCTCTGTGCTGGAGGGATCCTCTGTGGCGAGGGGCTTCATGGGTGTCCCTCTCTCCTCTCGGCAGATATGCAAAGCTAAGGTTTAAACAGTACTTCAAGATGAAGCCGGTGGTCACAGCCCTGCAGGTCTCTAAATAGCATCTCCAGCCTGTGAGACCCTGAGCTATTTTGTCCTTGCTGCATCCACAGCCCTCGCATCCCCCTCGCCCCATCCCCAGCCCAGCCGGGGGGCGAGGGCAGGTCCGGATGGTGGGAAGGGGGAAGAGAGGAGCTCTGACCCGGCCACCGATTAAAGGAGACCCTGGACATACCTGAGACTGGACCAGGAGATGCTAGAGAGGACCACGGCCTCGGAGAGGCCCCTGCCTACATGAGGAAGCCTTTACCATCGCCTTAACGTCGAGCCCCAGTGCCCGGCAGGTCCGTGCTTTGCTGGCACCGCTGCTGCTCCGCCTGGCACCTGGTTTGCTCCCTCTGTGCCGACCCCGAGGGGGGAAGCAGATCCCCCCGCATCTGCTCAGGAGTCCCCAGAGCTGCCCAATGCTTTAGCTGCCCAATGCACCCACTTTGCCTTCGCTGCTCCTGCTGTCCCCATTGCCCTGCCTGCTCGGTGCCACTTGAGCTCCCACCACCAATGCAGCCCCTCTCCTGGCTCTTGGGGCTGAGTGTGGGACCCTTTTTCATGGAGCAAGGGGCAGCCCCAGCCGTGAGCCACAAGGGCTTGGGACCAACCAGTGTGATTTTGCTGGTGGGTGCTGGGTGCCTGCACCCCGTGTTGTGCTCTGCTTTTGCTCCCAGATTGCCATTAACTTCATGGCTTCCCTTGTGGCATCCCAGCTCTGCTTTCCCCACCCCACCAGGGCAGGGGGATTCATCCTGCTCCTCACATGCACATCATCCCTGTGGTGCCCATGTGAGGGGCAGGAGATTGAACAGAGCTAGCCCGCTCCATGAGCTGGGCACAGCTTCATCCCTGTCAGTACCATCACTGGCCAGCTCATGACAATGGTTGTGCATCAGCTGTGGGGACAAGGAGCCAGCCCCTTCTATGCAGGCACCTACCCCAGCAAGAACCAGGACTCTTGTTGCATCTGGTGTTTTGTCTTGGTGCAAAATAAAAGCTGCTGGTAGCTGGAAATGGGGCTTGGCAGATCTGTGGGGACTGGTGCAGGAGCAGGGGGAGCATCCCTGGGGGAGGCAAGTGGCCACAGCGGGGGAAAGAGGCTGAACCCCAAACTTGCTGCCATGTGAACGCAGGTGAGAGGGGGAGAAGGAGAGGGAGCAGCCTGGGCCCCATCATGGATGGGTGGATGGAGGGATAGACGGACAGGGCAGGACAAAGAGCAACAGCACAAACAGGGCAGGGAGCCTGTAGGAGGGGGCTGTGCTGAAAGAGGGGCAGGGAAGGGGGGAAACAAGCACCCCCCAACCCCAAACTTGCTGCCATGTGAACGCAGGTGAGAGGGGGAGAAGGAGAGGGAGCAGCCTGGGCCCCATCATGGATGGGTGGATGGAGGGATAGACGGACAGGGCAGGACAAAGAGCAACAGCACAAACAGGGCAGGGAGCCTGTAGGAGGGGGCTGTGCTGAAAGAGGGGCAGGGAAGGGGGGAAACAAGCACCCCCCATCTGCCTGAGGTGAGAGCTCCCATCCAGCCCTTGGCTCTCCCCAAAAGCCCAGACCCAGCTCTCTGCTCCAAAAAGTCATCTTTATTGTGGCAAGGGGTGGGGGAGACAGTTGTAAACAAGTATGTGAAATATACAGGTTAAGTTACTCGTGGTCTTATTAACAAAATAAAGCTCTATCTATATTTACAATCTTAAAAAAAAAAAAAAAAGGAAAAAAAAATAAACAGAAGAACAAAAAATACCCAAACAGAACCAGAGAGAGGAAGAGCTGCATCTTTGTTGGGCACATCTGCTTCCAGCCCCCTCTGCAGCAGAGCGCATCCCACCCTGGGAGCTGGTACCCGTACCCCAGGGACCCCTTCCCCAGGGACCCCAGCCCCAGAGCAGCACAGGGATGGGGAATAAATAAAGCACTGACGAAGGGCAGGAGAGGAGCAAGGTGTTTCCTGGCTGGGTGAGGAGGCAGGATGCTCCCTTGGATGAGCAATATCCTGATGGCAGCCCTATGGGATGCAGGGGAGCAGCACTGGGGCCCGGATGCTGCAGAGGTGGTGCTCTGGACCCCCACCATGGGGCTGAGGATGTGAGTCTGCTGCAACGCCCCCACTGCAGGGGTCATCCCAGCCCCACTGCAGCCACAGCTCCTTCTGCACCCCAACAAGGTCCATGCAGTGTGGGGCTGCGGATGCAGCCGGAGCTGCAGTGCCTGTTCCCGGCTGTTGCCACAGGGCGGTGCACGGACTCTGTGCACAACCGGACACTGCATGGAATGCCAGACACTGCATGGAATGCTGGACACTGCCTGCACAGCCAGACACTGTGTGGAATGCCGGACACTGCATGAGACACTGGACACTGCATGCACGCATGCCAAGCTGCACCCAAACACTCCCAGGCTGGGCTCTGACTGGAGCAAGGTGGGTTTTCTTGAGTTATTTTTTAATGGCTGTTCTTTTTCTCTTCCTTTTGGGGGTTTTCACACTGCAGAGCACAGGTAGAGCCTGAGACTCGCAGAGCAGGAGGTGCCCAGGGATGGTGAGGACACGTTCCCACCACTGCAGGCAGGGAACAGGCACCCGCTTGATGTATAAAGTGGGCCAGAGCTGTCAGGAGCATAAAGGGCTCCTCAGAGCCCTTGGCCGGTGCTCAGGCCAGGAGGGAGCTAAAAATGGCTCCATGGGAATTTGCTGGCAGGCTCTAAAGACCAAGTGGGAAACACAGCAGGGAGGTCAGAGCAGGGCTGAGTGAACGTGTCCCCATCCCGTGTCCCCAGGGCTGGCAGCTACTGCAGGTAAGGAAGGGTCTCTGCACTAGACTCCTGGGTGATGCTCTGGAGGTTTCCCCACACCCAGACACCCTCAGGTCCCTCCCAGGGTGACAGCTCAGCAGCTGTGGCACCCACATCCCATGCGGCCTCAGCTCCGCCAGTGGTGCAGGAGCAAAACTGAGCCC